AGTGTGGATAAGACCTTGAACGTGTGGCTCTCACTCCTATGATTACAGTGTACAGAAGAAGGTGAGAAGTTTTGGCAAATCTATTCACTCTCTAATCTTTTCACTTTAGGTTAATCTAAACAGAGATTCCCCCTCTGACCTTAAGAAGAAGCCTGTTCTGTTCTGAGGGGACCCTGTGGCTAAGATTCCAGGATGACTTTTAGGAACTTGAGAGCAAATCCAACAACCCCCAGCGAACATGTGCAGACCTCAGTCCTAAAACCACCAGGAACTAAATTCTGCCAAAGAGATGAATGAGCCCAGAGAGAGCCCTAATAAGGGTTGGTGGTATTGTGATGCTGTGATTTATAATATGAAGTGTGTATTTGGTCCTCGTCCATCTTTTTTCTTGCAGAATTCCTAAGACCTTTGGATTTTCCTAAGAGATTAAAGGAACAGGGTGTCTGTTGTTATGTTAATGAGCTTACTGAGGTGACTTCTGGAATTCATCAAACTAAGGACCAGGGAACCACAACCTAATTACAGGGTTGGAACTTTCATTCCCTTTCTCTTGACTTCCAGGGACTGGAGAGGGGCTGGATCAATCACCAATGGCCCATGATTTCATCAGTCATGCCTGTGTAATGAAGCTTCCATAAAATCCCCAAAGGATGGTGTTCAGAGAGCTTCCAGGTTGGTGAACACTTGGCAATTCAGGGAGAACGGCTCCCAGAGACGCCTGGAAACTCTGGGACCCTTCCCACATACGCCATCTTCTCCATCTGATAAATTCTGACATGAGCTATACTGTGGATGAACCTTAAAGCCATTATGTTGGTTGAAATAAGCCAACCACAAGAGAGAAAGTATTGTCCAGCTCCTCTAGTATGAGATATCTAGAGCAGTGGAATTCATACAGACCAGAAATAGAATTGTGGCTGCCCGCAGTTAGGAGGGGGAGGGGGAACTAGTCATTACTGTGTACAGTTTCAGTTGGAGGAGGGGAAAGAGCTCTGGAGATAGATAGTGGTCATGGGTGCAAAATAGTGTGAACGTATCCTATGCCACAGAACCGTACACCTGAACATGCTGAAATCCATATTAGGTACATTGTACCCCAGTAAATGCAAGAGTAAATAAATAAATAAATATGAACAATTCACTAATTTATTTACCCATCATTTGGCATTCTTCTCTGCTAATAAACTCTCTACGTAAGAAACAGAATAAAAATTATGACTGTGTCTCAGAGACCTATTCAACCAAAGCAGAAGGCTTCTAGAAAACTTCATGGTGTGGTCACCTCTGCCCCCCACCATCTCTGCAGAACCACAAACAGAGAAGAAACGATCTCAAAACAGTCTGGATTTGAGCTAATGGAGGAAACTATCAGAATCCAAGGAAGTTCCATGAAGTTCTTGAGAAACTGGTTTGTCAGATACAGTGTGAGCATGGACTAAAAGGGTCAAGAAGAATACAACAAGGAAAATGACTACAAAAGATGAAACAAGCTTTCCATCAGGAAGAGATTAAAAGTAATATTTGTGCCACTGAGGAACCCAAACACACACGAGACAAAATCTGACAGAAGTAAGGGGCAGCACAAGCAATCCAGCAATGCGTCAGAAACAACGTCGCGCAACTCTCATTAATGGGCAAGATGAGCAAACGGAATATCAACAAGGACAGAGCTCTTCTACTTGAATAGCCATGTAGACAAGGTGGACACAAGGGTCATCAATAGATCACACCACCCAGCACAACAGACACACGTTCCTCTCAAGAGTACAAGGAGCTCTCTCTAGATGGACCATTATTCTAGCCCATAACGCAAGCCTTAATAAATTTAAAAAAAGTTCAAAATCATATGACATTTTTTCCACTGGTCCAGTCGAGTGATATTAGACTTTAATGACAAAAAGTAATTTGGGAAACTCACAAATATGTGGAAATTTAAAAACATAATCCCGGGTATGCTTGACTGGCTCAGTTGGAAGAGCTGGAGACTCTTGATCTCAGGGTCATGAGTTTGAGCCCCACGTTGGGTGTGGACATGACTTAAACAGATAACTATTTTTTTAATTGTTAAAAAATAAAAACATAATCTTAAAAAAACCAATGAGCCAAGAAAGAAACCAAAGGGAAAGTTTGTAAATACTTGTAGATAAATGAAAGTGAAGATATGAGATCCCAAAACTATGGGACCCATGGAAGTGGTGTGCAGAAGGGAACTTATAGATGTAAATACTGGTATAAAAGAAGAAAGATCTCCAATCAGGAGAAAAAGAGTAGACCAAATCTAAAGGGAGCCAAAGGAATGAAATAATAAAAATCACGGCTGAAATTAGGGACCTAGAAACTAGAAAACCAATAGAGTATCACTGAAAATAGAAGTTGATTGCCTGAGAAGATTAACAACACTGACCACAGGTTAGCTAGATGAACCAAGAAAAAGAGAGAAGGTGTACATTTTTACACTCAGAAATGAAAGAGGATTGTTCCTACTGACCCCAGCTATATAAAAAGGATCATCAATGATAGCAATAATGCTATTAATAATAATAAGATTATATTAATAATATTTACTATAACACAATATATTATATTATTAATAATTATCAATACTAGCAATAATGTTATAGACAGGTGTAGGCCAATAAATCAGGCACCTCACATGACGTGGATGCTTTCCTAGAAAGACGCAAAACATAGAAACCGATTCAGGAACAAATACACAACCTAATAGATGTATAACAAGTAAAGAAACTAAAATATTAATTTTTTAAAGATTTATTTATCCATGAGAGAGAAAGAGAAAAAGCGTGGGGGTTGGGGAGGACCAGAGGGAGAGGGGTGGAGAGAATCTCAAGCAGACCCCTCGCTGAGCACAGAACCCATCATGGGGCTTGATTTCACAACCCTGAGATCATGACCTGAGCCCAAACCAAGAGCCAGCCACTTAACCAACTCTGCCACCCAGGTACCCCAAAACATTAACTTTTAAATAAACTACCCACAAGGAAAATTTAGGCCCAGATGTCTTCACTGGTGAATTCTACCAAACATTTAAAGAATGAATTCTTCACAAACACTTGCAAGAAATATAAGAGAAGGAAAGACTTCTCAGTTCATTTTTGGGGTGAGTTATACCATAATAGCAATGCCAGGCAAAGACATCAACAGAAAAACAAAACCAACAGAATTATAGACCAATACTTCTTACAAATACAGACTCAAAAACCTCAACAAAATACTAACAAATCAAATCCATCAGTCTATTAAAAGAATTATGTACTATGAAACCAAGTGGAACTGGTCTGAATTGGTGAATGGAATGCTGCTTTAACATCTAAAAATCAATTCTTCTAATATATCACGTCAATAAAGAAGGCCGAAAAACCCACAATCATCTCAACAGATGCAGAAAAGGCATTTGGCAATTCTCACCACCCTCGCATGATAAAACCTCTCATCAAACCGAAATAAATAGGAACATCCACAACTTCATAAAAGGCGTCTATGAAAAACCCACAGTTCACATCACACTTATTACAATTTCATCATAAAAGACTCTTGCAACTCCAGAAATCAAATTAGACCAATCTTAAAAATGGATAAAAGATACAAAGAGACATTTCTCCCAAGAAGATGTTCAAACACCAGCTCACGAAAGGAGAGTCGACATCCTTAGCCATGAGGAGAGCCCAAGTCCAACAGCCAGCGAGCCAGCACCCCAGCCCACAGAGCTGTGTGCAGTCTGGAGCACAGGTGATCACAAGAGCGGGTGTGCTAGGACAGACACAGGAGGCGCGTCGATCTAGGGGCATGTCAAGTGTGCGGCCCCTGGAGAGAACAGCGCAGCAGCCCCATCCATCACATGGTAAACATACGATCCAGCAATAACGCTCCTTGGCACCTACACCCCAAAAATATATGCCCACAAAAGGCTTGCACACAGGGGTGTCTGGGTGGCTCAGTCGGTTAAGTGGCCATCTCTTGATTTTGGCTCAGGTCATGATCTCAGTCTTGGGATTGAGTCCTGCATCAGGCGGGGAGCCTACTTCTTCCTCTCCCTCTGCCCCTCTAACCCTCTACCCCTCCGCTTGTGTGCACGCGCGCTCTCGCTCTCTCCCTCTCTCTGTCAAATAAACAGATAAATAACTTTTTTAAAAAATTTAAAAACACAACGAGAAACCTGCAAACCAGTTACAATGCTTAAAATAGCATTGTTTTGTTTTTTGAACCCGGGAATACCAAGCTCTAGGGGACACAGGGCAAACGGACCTGTCCCATGCTGCTGGGAAGCATGTGACATGGCACACCCCAGACACAATGCCCCTAATGTATGTAATTTTTGTTGCCTCTCCCTGGCCCTGGGTGGCTGGTGGACTGGAGTCCCCTAAGGAGGACATGTGTCCCGTTGCCCACCCGCCTCCAGAGCCCAGCTCAGCGCTCCGGGGCGCGTTACTGCTCACAAGCAGCCCTGGATTCGTTGGAACTGCAGCCACACACCCAGAAACCAAACCCGGAGTCAGTCCAGTCTGCGGTGTCCATGAATGCGCTTGCCAGGAGACCTGGCCCTCAGCACCTCGGTCCGCATGGAGCTCCAGCATGGACAGAAGCTCCAGGAAGGCGAGGCTCACACCGGGAGTTCTCTGCATGTAAACGCACTCCTGGCAACGTGCCTGCACATCCTAGGCACCCCGAGAATGCAGGCTGGATTGTTCGGATTTGGGGGACAAAGGGAGGAAAGACGCACGCTTTTCAGGACTGATTGTGCATGCTAAGAAATTGCTAATGTAACACATTGGGTTCTGAAGAAGAGAGAAAGACGCACGCTAAACCCACCATTGTTTTACACAAGGTAAGACGAAACCCTCAGCTTTCTGCCCCTGAACGGTACCCTGTCTCTCCAGTCACCTTCTCCAGGCCTTTCTATCAGACCTTCACACGAGGGCTTTCGAGAGAAGGATGCTGACATTCTCCCCACAGCAGAAATGCAAACAATTCCGCGTACTTACAGTAGCCAGGAGCAGGCTCTGGAGGCTTCTGGTCCTGCGGCTCCAACTCGGCCCCCGGCTGCTTCTTGGAACCTTGCAAAAGCATCAGGAACACCTTTTGGAGCATTAAAAAGAGAGCTTCCTATTATTCATACTCATTTCCACAACACGTTGCTTTTCCTGGCTTCAGTCACCCGACAAGGTCGTGATGACAATATACCGCACACTCACACACACATCATTCACTTTTCATTGTGCTGGCCTGGAGCCAAGGCCACCCAGGTTGCGGCAAACTGTTCGTAAGGCTGCTCACAGGGCACAGAGGAAGGAAAGCTGACCGTGGACCTCAGGGCACTTACAGGCAGAGGCCGGTCCAACCCAAAGGCAGGAGAAGGCAGAGCACAGCAGGTTCCGAGAAGGTGTGCCCAGCACAATGTGAGTTTAGGGCCAGCTGCACCAGCATCCTAGACACTGGGTGACCCAGCTTATTCAGCACGTGGGATGCCATGCGTAAGAACCCCCACCAGACGTGTCTTTTCCATGGTGTGCCATGACGCCCAGAGCAGTCTGTTTAAGTAACGGCTCGAGGTCCCTATTCAGCTGGTGCTGGAAACCCAAGCCCAGCTTCAGTGTGTTCAGATCCGAGGACTGGGCCCACATCAGCGAGAGCAGCGAGGCGCCATCTGAGCCAGGACAACTATCCAAGCCCCAGAGCCACACCTGGAGGTTCGACAGGGTCCTTGGAGGCGTGAGAGGGCGTCCCTAACATGACCTCGACAGGTGCGAGTGAGAGGCAGGCATTTCCTGCACGAAAACCGGGCAGCGACCACTGCCGTGGGCAAGGCTGGGGCGCGGGCTTGAGCGCGAGGATCCTCGTGGCAGGTGCGACCAGCTCCGCACCCGCAGGCTGGGGACCCAGTGCCCAGAGCGTCACCTGCACGGCCTCCGGAGCAGGGGTGGCGACGACCAGTGGCTGAGGTTCAGCGGATGACGGCCGGCACCCGGCCTGCACTGTGGTGTCTGTAAACAGCACCCCCTCTGACTGTGCCAACTGAGGAGAAGCACGTGAGTAGGGCTACAGGGAGAGACGCACACTCCGTCCGGGACAGAATCCTGTTGACAGAGATCCCGAGTCCTGCCCCGGTCGAAGGCCAGCAGGTTTCTTGAGATCTGGTGTGCTCACTTGTATTTGTAAGATAACCCCGCGGATTCCCAGTAAGACCCCAAGGAAAAGAGGCAAGCCTCAAGGCCACGACGGGGACCACCACCAGCAATAATAATAATACTGATTAATAATTAATCGCAGCATGGTGCCAGGGTGTCCCCTGGGAAAGCGATTCTGCCTCTCTGACTTAGTTTCCCCTTAGGATACATACTACTACTAAGACACGGGACAGAACTGTGGCAAGTAGGGAGTGCGTTTTAGACAGAGCGGAAAGAACGTGCTCGCCCAAGGGAAGCTCCGGACGCCTGGTCCTGGGAGGAGCCAAGTGGGAGGAGGAAGTACGAAGGGGCAAGCCCATGATGTGTTACCCCAATTAATTCGCAGCCCAACCAGGGACACCAGGACTGTTACCCCCATTTGCGAGGAGGGCCCTGAGGCCTCAAGTGAGAAGCGTTCAGCCAGGGCATTTATAAAGATTTTTATTTCAGGGTGATGGCATGGCTCAGTTGGGCGGAGCATCTGACTTGATTTCGGCTCAGGGCAGCATGTCAAGGTCGTGGGATCGAGCCCTGTATCGGCCTTAGTGCTGAGCGTTGAGTCTGCTTGAGTCTCTCCCTCTCTGTCTGCCCGTCCCCCTGCTCACCCTTGCTCTCTCTCCCAACAAATAAAAAAATCTTTTAAGATATGGGCAGCCGACCCAAATAGACACGCAGACGGCCAACAGACACATGAAAACACGCTCACCGTCTCTCGGCGTCAGGAAAATGCAAACCTAACCCACGACGGGAAACCAGCTGACCCGTCAGGATGGCTATCATCCAAATGACAAGAAATCACAGCTGTCGGCCAGGATGTGGGGAAGAGGGAGCCCTACGTGCGCTGTGGGTGGGAACACGGACCACTGCAGACACTCGGGAAAACAGTACGGAGGGGCCTCAAACAGTGAAAAACAGAATTACCCTGTGACCCAGCAATTCCACGCGGAATTCTTCCAACAGAAGTGAAAACACCACATTGAAGAGACAGCCGCTCCCCGTGTTTCAGCAGCCAATACGCGGAGTGAGCCCGAGGGCTGAAGGTCCGGCCACGGATGAGCGGATACAGAAGAGGCGGTACATGCGTGTGTACACACACACACACACGTGCACGTGCACATACATGCACACACACGTGCGTTCAATGGAATATTATGCAACCATAAACAGGAAGGGACTTCTGTCATTTGCAACAACGTGGATAAACCGTGTGGAGAGTTGTGCTAAGTGAGATAAATCAGAGAAAGAAAAATACCCGATGATCTCACCTATAGGTGGAATATTAAAAAGAAGAAAAGAAAGAAAGAAACAGAGAACAGACCCGTTGGTTGCTGGGGGAGCGCAGGAGCCACGTGGGTCCGGGGTCAAAAGATACAAACGCGCGGTTATGAGTCAGTCCCGGGGAGCTGGTGCATGGTGTGCAGACTCTGGTTGGCAGCACCGGGCTTTGCAGCTGAACGCTGCGGAAAGAGTAGGTTACTGAAGCTCTTTCCAGAAGAGAAGAACCATGCGAGGGGAGGCACGTGGCGGGACCGTGGGAGGGGAGGACGTGGGCGGGACCGTGGGAGGGGAGGACTTGGGTGGGACCGTGGGAGGGGAGGACTTGGGCGGGACCGTGGGAGGGGAGGACGTGGGAGGGACCGTGGGAGGGGAGGACGTGGGAGGGACGGTGGGAGATGAGGACATAGACAGGACCGTGCGAGGGGAGGACGTGGGCGGGGCTGCCGACAGCCATCCGGACAACACAGACACACACCAAGTCATTACGTCGCACGCCCTAACCGCATACCACAGTGCGTGTCAATAAAACGGGGGGAAGAAATGAAATCTCAAGGGCACTGGCCGGTGTGGAAGTGACTTATAATGCAGCAGGAGCACAACTGAAGGGCCCAGCCTGTGGCATTTCCGCTCTTTGTTCTCAAGGAGCGGCACGTGCAAAGGTTCCAGAATCTTCGTCTGTGGGCTGATGCTTTCCCAGTCGAGGAGCGCTGTGGGGTGTGAGCCCTGACGGCAGCCCGAGGTCAGCTCCACACGGAGTATGCCGTTGATCTCTCAGGCCGCGGGGTGAGGCCCACCCCCTCGTCACATCGTCTCAGCCCCCGGACTCAAACTGCACTTAAAGTGTCAGTTTGATGGACTTCATCCCGGAGATGCGCGGCGCTGGCACCATCCGTGAGGCTAGCCGACTCTGCGGGACAGGGACGGCATTGTCCCACCCATGCAGGCACGGGAAGAATTCCCAAACTTCAGCCACAGCCTGAACACAGCTGTGTGTTTTATCAGTTCCCCAGAAGAAAGTCTTTTAAGATGGTAAAACCCGTGGAGAGAGCTCCGGTGCTAAGGACCGTGAGGGTCACTGGCCAGTCCGGGCAGATCTGTCCCCCGACGCGGCTCATGGAGCACGCAGTGGGATTTTGTCAATTTGGAGGATCTCGTATCTGCTCCCGATGGCTGTTGTAACAAATGACTGCAAATATGGGGTCTTCAAGCAGTGCCAATTTATCCTCGGATGGCTCTGGAAGTCGAAAGTCTACCGTGGACGTCCTGGGCTGGTTCCTTCTGTGCACCCGGAGAGGGAATGCACCTCTTGCCTTTCACAGGTCCTGGTGGCGCTTACAGGCTCTGGTGCCCATGTTCTGGGCCCTGCACTCCACGCTCAAAGCTCATCACCCCAATCCTGGCCTCCGCGAAGTCATCACCTCCCACCCGACACCTTCCTATGTCCTTCCGACAGGCACGCTTCTGATGACACCGTCCCATCCAGGATGACCTTCGCCTTCCCGGCCAGAGATCTGTGCGGCTGATGAGCTCTGGTCTGGGGATTAAGGACACAGACACTCTCGGGGCCATCATCCGTCCCAGCACCAGACCCCACGCCTCAGTGCAACTCTGAAACAGGGACCCATGGCCCCTGGAGGGGAGGGACCAGGTTCCGAAGGCGGGTCTTTGAGCGCTGGTGCTCGAGCAGCTTCTGGAGATCGACCATGTGCAGGTGGATGGAGCAAACAAGGGAAGACCCTGAGAAACGGAAGGCGCGTGTGGCCCAGTCAGAGCACGAGGGACACATACGAAGAGGGGACACCGGATGAACCCAGTGTGACTGGCTGGGCCTTGGAGGGGCCGCGTGGAGGTGAGCTCCTGGTTTTCAGTGTGTGGAGGCAAAAGAGCCGGGCGACAGGGACTCCCCAGCCGCAGCCAGGGCTGGAGCAGGGAGCAGTGGTGCCCCACAGTCAGGCCTGCATCTGACAGCCAGGCCCCCTTGCAGGTGCGGGGATGCACCCCTTGTGCCCAGAGCACCCCCTTATGTCAGAGAGCAAGAAGACATGCAGATGTAATGGGGACACATTAAAGATGTAAAACCAGCTTGGCTACATGCAGTAGGATTCCAGCATCAAGTGAACAGGATCGCGGCAGACCGTGGCGGTGCATAGCGTAAGAAGCCACGACTCCTTACGGATACAGACAAGTAAATGGGGTGAAGAGAACGTGCTCTGTTTCTGTGTAATGCCGACCAATAAATGCAGAAGGAGTCACAGAATGAGAGGACCCACCAGCTGGCAGATGTCAGGGTCCTAATGCACTCGGGCTGGGGACAGGGCAGGGGACCCGAACCAGCACCATGAGGAATGGGAACTGAATGAGTCTCAAGGCGCGTCCTCAAGAAACAATGAGAAATGAAGAGCAAAGGAAAATTAGCTGCACAGTGGAAACGCCTAGCAGGTGCCGTGGACCTGGCTGAGCCACGTTCTCACCGCCCCACAGAGCAGACCGCCTCGCGCATCTTGGGCAGTCAGAAGCAAGAAGCCACCATGCCACTCCTGTCACCGGGCAGCCCCCAAATGCAGAACCTGGTCTGTGAGGAGGACAAACCCGCGTGGGGGCTCATGGTGCAGAAGGGCTATTCTGGAATCTGCAGAGACACTGAGGTCACCGACCTCCTGGAAACAGGCATTCTTGCAGAGTGACAGAGAGTAAGGAGACACCTGATGCACCTCAGTCATGACCCCAGATCCGATGCTTCTGCTCCTTGGGACACGAGAGGCACAATCGAAACCGGAAGGCGAAGACTCTACAGAAATCCTTGGTTCCTAGAAATTGCTGTCCCCTTCAGATGCAGGCATCTGAGCTCATGCACCCGAGGGTCTGACATCCAGAACTTTCTTGACGGAGGTACAAAGGGAACCCGCTACACAGGACGTACCAGGCTGGATGGGAAGAAACGGCCCGTCTCACACAGGCAGGCTCTGCTTTCTAGATTACTGAACACGTCACAATTATTAAAAATGTACTTCAATGTTTATAATTGGGAAGGCTCTGGATAATTGGGGTGGGCAGGAGACACATGGGAAATCTTTGTACCTTCTCCGTATTGCAGTGAACCTAAAACTGCTTTAAAAAGTAGTCTATATATATATATATATATATATATATACATATATATATATATATACACACACACACACACACATGTGTATATATATATACCACTAAAAATCTAAAATTCACTCCATTTGCATGACATCGAAAGATTTTGCCCTGGCTTCAGAGCTGGCTCTGCATGTACTTCTGGTGCACAGCTGGTGGGCGGCCGGGGGTCTCCAGATCTCCCCGGCCCCCCAACCACACCAAGGAAGGTTTGCTCCATGCATTAGGACACACATGGTGACCACAACATCAGGTTTTTACGTCTTAGCCTCCCTGGCTTGGGAGCCCGTCTAGGGGCCCTGAATCACAAGGACATTTACTGGGGTTTAAAAAGAAACCCGCACTTAGCTGCAGAGGCGGGGTGTCCCCAGCAGACCCTGTGCACCTGCGGCAGTGTCCTCAGGAAACACACAGGGGGACAAAGGGGGAGCACAGGCCACGTGCCCACAGCTATGCTCACTGCAGATCGATCACAGACACAAGACAAGAAAGTCAATCCCAGCCGGTGTAAAAAGACAAAATTGGCTGAGATAGATACTTTATAGACTCCATCAAACAAAAGAAAATTTTTAAATGGCTTAATCATGTTTTTTTCCAATTTAAGATACCTTTGTCAAAGAAGTCTGAAGACTCTAATATTATATTTTGTTAAGTCTGTATTTCACATCTTGGTTTATTATGGTTGCCCGTAAGACGGAGAGCGTCTTTCGAGCGTCTGTGCGTGCGCGAGAGAAAAGCAAGCGACGTGAGCGCGGACCAGCGCCTGTTCAGTATCTCTCATGCACAAAGCATGTAGGAGCGTAGCAGGCAGGAATGACCGCAAGAAACGGAGAAGCCCGTCGGATTCTCCCAAGTGATTAGCAGGAGGCTCTTCGCTTCTTATTGGGCTTGTTTTGGGGTGATTAGCACCAAGGACAAGGGATGGGGGAATCTGGAGAAAGAAAAGAAAAAGCAGGTTGCTGAGAAGCAAGTTGGAGGGAGGGATTATTCCCTGAAGAAGGGGTAAGGACGGAATCTCTCCGTATTTTGTTGGTGCTGATGGTCCCACGACCCCACGCCTCTGCTAAAATCTACTGAGTGGATTTCACGGTACCACAATTACATCAATAAAGGATTTTTTTTCTTAAAGGGGGCAAAGATGAGGATGATTAAGAAATTTACCAAAGGTGCATCAATGGGTATAAGTAAGAATATTTTGGAGAAGAAAGGCAAATACAAATAAGAAATAGGGATATTTAAGGAATTAGCATCAAAAGAATTTCCAGGGGGCACCTGACCGGTTCAATAGGTAGAGCCTGTGACTCCTGATCTCAAGGTTGTGAGTTCAAGCCCCACGCTGGGTGTAGAGATGACTTAAAAATAAAATCTTTTTTAAAAAAGAATTTTCCGGATGCCTCAGTGGCTCAGTCGGTGAAGCGTCTGCCTTCAGCTCACGTCATGATCCCAGAGTCCTGGGATGCAATCCCACATCGGGCTCCCAGCTCAGCAAAGAGTCTGCTTTCCCTCTGCCCCTCCCCGCCTATGTCATGATACCATGTGCACGCACTCACTTTCTCTCTCTCTTTCTGGCAAAAATAAATAAATAAAATCTAAACAACAACAACAAAAGAGTTTTCAGAAGTTACGCCATGATGACGCATTGTCATAACATTAAAAATCTAGAAGGACTGAAACACAGAAATGCTTAATTTCTGAATATACCAGCGCACATGTATTCTGGATTAAAATAGCAGTACTCGAGTGATACTGAGAAGTCCTCATGTTTGTGTGATTCCTTGCTGTTTGTGATCCATCTCAGAATTATCGTGTTATCAGATCCCAACACACACAGTGTGGGAAAGTTAGGAGGAATTTCTATGTCCTCGATGAGAAGGAGTGGCACTGTAGCCCAAGGGAACGTCCGGCTTCACCCTGACTGTAGATCTCAGCCCACCCACACCTGGCCGCTCCCCCAGCCGCGGCAGCCCCCACTGCACTCAGCCCCTGCAAGAGAGCCTCGATGCTGGAAGCCGGTCACAGCGGAAGGCAGGTGGCCGCTGGAGGAATGGTTATGGGAAAAACCGACACGGCTTAAGATCAATATCTTAACTGGGCAGCTCCTATTAAACAACAGCAAATGCAGAGGCGTTTCCAATCAGACTGAAGATTGTGACCCTGGTCGCCCAGCACATCACTGTAAAAGGATCCTCTCTCCAGGGAGGAGGGGATCCCCACAAAAAGCCAGCTCCCAGACCCAGAGCTGCCCATGGCACGGAGGACCCAGGGGAGCCCCCATCTGGAAGGGACGCAGGGGCACCACCCAGCCCAGGACCCTTCCAGGGCAGCTCCTGGACATTTCTTGGCATCCCTTCAGGCTGCACCAGGAGCCCATCCCATCAGCCTCACCTGTGGCTCCTGGTAGCTCCCAGGGACACACTCGGCCAATGGTTTGGAGTTAGGATTCCAACCCAGGGGCTCTGCACCTGGGCACCGGGACCCCTGGATTCAGCCAGAACCCCTGAAGCCTGCCCCGCGGGGTAGTCATCACCACCCTGGGAATAGCAACCACAAAGCCCTAGTTTCTGCTTCCACTAAACCCTATCAGAAACTAAGAATTCCTGATGTTGAAGGTGTGGGTGACCTCTGGTGTCCTGCCTTAGCCAGGCTGGCCACGGTAGACCCTGACAGAGGTCACCTCACTGGACCTCAGGCTCAGCAACAGCAGCTTTCTGTGGCCCCTGTGAGTCAATGTCCCATTGCTTTGTCTGGCTTTTACTAAAATAACACCTATAAAGGAGATGAGTGGCTTAAAAAAGATTCTGACAGATAAAAGGAGCGATACAAGCATACAAAAATGAGTAGAAGGCAGAGCTGACACCTTTCCTGGCCCAGAAGTTTCTTTGATTTAATCCAAGGCGGTGGCTGGAACCAGACCTGATAGTTTGGCAGAAAGGAAGGAGGGAGTGTGGGTGAGAGGAAGGGAGGGGAAGAAGGCAGGGAGGGAGGAAGGGAGGGGTGGGGAAGGGAGAGAGGAAGGGGTAGGAGGAGGAAGGGAGGGATGAGAAGAGGAAGGAGAGAGGGAGGGAGGTGAGAGGGGAGGGAGGGGTGAGAAGAAGGGAGCGTTAAGAAGGAGAGGGAGGAAGGGGAGAGGAGAAGGGGTGTGAAGAGAGGATGGGAGGGATAAGATGGGAGAGGGAGGATGAAGGGAGGAGTGGTAAGAGGAAGGAAGAAGGAGAGAGGGGAGGATGGGGAGAGAGGGAGGGGTAAGGGAAAGGAGGGAAGAGAGGAAGAGGGAGGGGTGAGGGGAGAGAAGAAGGGAAGAGAGGGAAGGAGAAATAAGAGGGAGGGGGAGGGAGGGGAGACAGAGGGCTGAGGAGAGGAGGGAGCAAGGGAGGGAAGAAGGAGGGAGGGAAAGAAATACTAAGAATAAGTAGGCATCTTATATACACTGTAATTATTAACACGCCTCTCCGTAACCGTCCATTTGCCCTGAATTATCGATTGCATAACGGTTAACAAAGGATTAAACGCTAAGCACCAACACGGATCACAAAGACCCCTCCCCATGTTTGACTGTGCTTAAATTCATGCTTAATTCACACACCAGTTAAGCCCAGCACGCCACAAAATTTCGCTCTACCTAAGGACAACCATCGCAAGGACTCCTCAGCTTGCCCACTGCATCAGCAACAGACAAGACGTCGCGTCCACGGGGCGCACACGCGTTCTTCCTGCCACGCGTGAGTGTTGGTGAGCAAGCAAGTGTAAAATGCCGAAGGTGAGTGCTCGTTATTTTATCAATTAGTGTGTTTGGTCCAAATTGTCCCCTATTCCCCAGGCAGCCCTGCCCTCTTCTCGGGTGGCGACCCACACGGGCCGTGGGCGCGCTCAGCCTGTGCGAGCGCCTGCAGAACCGGGAGCGCGTGCGGAACCGGGAGCGCGTGCGGAACCGGGAGCGCGTGCGGAACCGGGAGCGCCTGCGGAACCGGGAGCGCGCGGAACCGGGAGCGCGTGCGGAACCGGGAGCGCCCTGCGGAACCGGGAGCGCCTGCAGAACCGGGAGCGCCTGCGGACACGGACAGATGCCGCCACGCAGCCAGTCTGGGCTTCACCGGCAACAGCCCCGCCTCACAGTGCAAAGGAAATTATTTTCTAAAATTCTCCCCTTTCTCATGCACAGCTGACGTCTTCCTTTCCTATTTTATTAAGCAATTAGAAAAGACCAAAAAAATTATTTATTTTTCCTTTTCAAATAACCCAAACTGGCAACATAGCTCTCAAAGTCGGCGTCTCCCTGTCTGCAGGGAAATGGTGATTCCCAAGTCCCCGCTCGTCGCGGTTGCTAGCTGGTTGGTACAGTAGCTGGCTTGTCATCCAGGGTCCAAAAGATGGTGACAACCAGGGTGTGGCATCTCCCCGTCTGAGCCCCTGATTACTGAGCTGCCTTAAGGTGCTTTGCACTCACGTCCGCTCACATCTGTCTGCACACCAGATGTGCCCTGCCTCACCCCACGGGGGTCAGGGGCTTGGGAAACTCCCCTGCCTCCCGCTGTTCCCCGGAGGCCCTGGAGTCTGCCCCAAGTCCCCGGAGAAGATGCAGTTTTGCTCCTCTGTCACTCCAAAGCCATGACAACAATTTCACACCCCGTGTTTCCTTGGGCAGGAAGAATCTTTACCATTTCTGGTGGGCTCGTTGCAAACATTAGGATATATTATGTGTTATTGTCAGTGCACGGAATAACCAAGTAAGCCATTCTAATTACCTCATTTCAAAGATCAAAAACCCGAGGCTCTCGTGAGTTGAGTGATTTATCCAAGGCCCTAGGCTCTGGAAGGAGACGGACTTGGATTAGCACCGGCTGGGGCAGTGCTCATGTCTTTTCCACTACGATGCTCTCTCCCAGAAGCTGGACATATCTTTTGAAGTGTCCTGCTCATGGTTCATTCAGAAAGTATTTATTAGGCAAACTCTGGTGTGGGGCATGGCGCTGGGTGCCATGGGGTGCAGAGGAGTCAAACAGACACACAGCACCTCCTGCAAAGTCATGGGCGCATTCGGGGACCCTACCTCGTTGCCGCTGATGAGCTGTGGATTTAGGGTAAAGAAGCCAGTCTCTCTGAGCCTCACCCTTAATATGGGAAAAATAACAAGAGACAGCATTTGCATTTAAATAGCTTGGAATATAGCAGATCTTGTTATGTTTTACAACCTTTCATGACCATTTTATTCCAGACCAAAGCTGCCATGGGCTGCGTCTACTTGGAACGATGCTGATTCACACGCACACGGCTGTTTCTCCTCTCACGAGGCTAAACCAGGGACACGCCTCCAGCCCCTGAATCCATCCAAATACAGACTCTGACACTCTGAAAGTTGTAATATTTTAATTCTCATATAAGGTTTCTAATATTCGTTCAGATTCTGTGCCAACTACGAATTACAAAGCTCACCGCCCCTGGAACTAGTCTGGACTCATAGAGACGGGGTCCAAGATCCTTTCCAGATCATTAAATCTTAGCCTGTGTCACTGGATCTTTATGTTTTGTTTAGAGAGACAGAGAGTTTGGGTGAGGGGGACAGAGAGAGAGAGAGAGAAAGTCCTAAGCAGGCTCCACAGTCCGCTTGGAGTCCAACGCGAGGCTCGATCCCACGACCCTGAGATCACGACCTGAGCTGAAATCAAGAATCGTACCCTTAACCGACTGAGCCACCCAGGCGCCCAGCGTCACTGGATTTTTACTCTAAATCTGCAGCACTTTCTATAATAACAATGTAAACTTAGAACTCGACTCAAGCTCGGCTGACCCAGAGGCCCCCAAACAAGGTTTCCCTTTGGTTCAGTTACACCCGTGACCACTCTTGCAGGAGGGAATGCCCGGCCCTGCCTCCCACTGGCTGCTGAGAAACCACACCGTGACGGGGATGTCACCCGGCTCAGTCCCAAGGGACAGGGAAGCGGAACTGGGGAGCAGTGTGGGACTCGCGGAAAGCCAGAGGAGTTCACAAGCTTGACCTTCTGCACACCTCCTCCTCCTGCCAGCGTGGGGCCGTGGGCGCCAGGCAGAAGCAGGTCCACGGAGGAAGGCAAGGGCGCCTCCAGGTGAGGAGACGTGTCCCGCCATCCCCGCAAGTTCCTCAAGGTATCACAGTTCTCAAATCTAAAAACGCGCCTTTCCCTTAAAGAGCGGTAGGGACGCATGGGGCGAGCTAACCCTGCTGTTGGCTGCCGTGGGGCCGGCACCGATCGCAACCTGGAAATAGTAAAAACAGCCGTGTTCTCCCTCATGGCCTCCCCGCGGCCTCACCCGCACCTGGGCACCGAGCAGTTCTCGAAGGCGCACTTGAGCCTACCTCCTCCAGCGTGGTGTCCGAGATCCCGAAGCCCGTCACGCGCAGACTGTGCAGGTTCTGCTCCAAGGCCTGGAAGAGCCCTTTGAAGCAGGCCCTGTCCGCGTCCTGGGGAAGGCCGTAGACCAGCTCCCCGCCACTGCTGTCTTTGAGGAAAGCTTGCGGGATGTAGGTCTGGATCAGAGACGTGGCTCGGGCGATATCCTTCGGGTCATTGGCCTCCAGAACAGAAGGCTGTCCCAAAAAGGAAGGAGGAGCCTTAGTTCCAAAACACCAAGTTTCCTCATCCGATTTCACGCGCGAAATTCCAGTGCGAAGCAGCGAAAGGGAGAGGTATCACTTGAGCCACAAGCATTGCAAGGATACGTTGAATGTTTCCGACGGAGGGGAGCCTCCCGCGCCCACCTTGGTGTTGGTTCCCAGGCACGTCGGGCAGGCCTGGGGAGGCTGCACTCACACACACACATCCCGCTCCTGGGGAGAATCCCTTCTGGAGTACAGGACATGGGGCCAGGTGTTCTTAAAGGGGGGACAAGGGTCTCCCACCCACAGAGGGAAGGAACCACTGCAGGGCAGTGAGATACTCACCCCAAGTCAGGGAGGAAGCTTGACTCAGGGCCCACACCTCCTGGACCCCAAGCCCAGAGCCACTCCTGCCCACCCCGTGCTGACGGGACCTCTGACATGTGCCTTTTACCCTACTCATCCCTGCTGCTTTCGAGGAAAGCTTTAGCCTCCTAGATGGACCCTCGCTGTCAGAAAAACACTTCTGGAGCATCTGGCCCATGATGCTGCCTGGCCAGACACGGGATGGGCTGGTACCCATCAGGGACTTCTGACCCCCATCTGGTTCCGCTTGGTCACGATGCACGGTGGTCACAGGGGCTCACGGCCCTGCTCAGCCCGGGACATTCATTCCACATCCTAGCTGCTGTGCCCAGAGGCTCTGACTCAATTACCAACTCCATCTCTAGCCCACCCCTCACCAGTGACTCCGCCCGCAGCTCAGCCTCCCCCGTCCCAACCCACCGGGAGCCCCACGGCTGCCCTCCCCCAGCCCCACCTTGCCAGCCGCCAAGCCCACCGCAGACACCACCGTCACCACATCCTGCCTCCCTCCTGCTCCAGTTCCCCGTCCCTGCATCTGTCCCGGGCCTCCTTTTGGATTCCGGGAGCGTCGAGGACCAGACTGGACGCAGAATCAGCACTTTCCGGTTTGCTCCAGCTTCCTACCTGTTTGGTGAGGGTCAGGCTGAGCCCCTGGCCATAGGCTTCAGTCAGGCAGAAGGGGGGCGCACAGCAGCGCAGCCGGCCCTGCTCCAAGAAGGCCACGCGGTCACTGAGCGCCTCCGCCTCGTCCAGGTGGTGGGTTGTGAAGATGATCGTCCGACCTGCATCCCGACACAGACGGGTCAGAGCCGGCACGGTGATTGCCTTGGGGCAGGGGAGGGGGAGCGGGGCCCAGAGATGATTTAAAGACCACCGCTAATTTTTACGTCCAAAAAAGTAGAGACGCACACAAGTGACTTGGCCACAGACTGGAGGGGATGCTTCTTCCTCTGCGGGTCCCTGGGGTTTTGATGCTATTTTTACAAATGCTTCATCCCCTGGTGAGTCACAGGGGCCAGGGACATGCACAGAGGGTGACACAGAGGGGCCCATGTCTGGTCACCCCCGCTGCACTCGCAGGCACACCCCTGCAAGGCCGTGGAGGAGAAATTTTTTTTAAAAAGGCTGGAAGGGCATCTCTGTCTCTCCTCTGATACTCAGGCCCTGTCACGGGTCTTCAGAGGATAATCTCACAGCCATTTATGGGGAAGGCTATATTTATTCCACCAAAGTGGCCACTATTTTGATTAAGGCAGGGCAGGTGGCCACGGTCTGCTCTGATTTCCTCCAGGGTCTGGGATGATGCGACCACACACACTCACCCATCACACGTGACAGGAGAGAAGCAGCTACTCTGACTGTAGACAATGGGCTTGGGACATGGGCAGGTGGGGACGTGAGCCAGGGGACGCCCCAGGAGCAGACCTCACAGAGCCCAGGGGCCACCTCTTGCAGAAACAATTGTTGTTTTTGGTCTTTTACTTTATATTTATTTATTTGATAGAAAGAAAGTGAGCACAAGCAGGGGAGAAGCAGGCAGAGGGAGAAGGGGAAGCAGACTCCCTGCTGAGCAGGGAGCCTGATGCGGGGCTGGATCCCAGGACCCTGAGATCATGACCTGAGCCAAAGGCAGATGCTTAACGGACTGAGTCACCCAGGCACCCCTCTTCTCTATTTTAGTAACAGTAACAATAAAGTGTCATTGACCGAACCCCCAGCTGCCCGTACTGAGCCACGCCTTTCTCTAGACAGTACATCTCCTCCTTCCAAAATCCCACAAGCGAGAACCCTGATGCCCGAGGAATAGGATAATTTCTCCAGGGTTAGGCATGCGTGGACAGCAGGAGCGTGAACAGAATTTGCTCATCATGCGCTAGTTTGTTCGGGCATCTTTCTCTTCCTGACTTCTTCCAAGGGAACCCCGTCCCACTCAAGGGCTCAGCTCCGTGCATCGCAGGAGGGAGGGAATGGCGGCGGATCAGATCCCAGGTACCCCGAGCCCTGGGCGCACCGCTGTGCCCACACGGGGTCGTGCTGCCCAGAAGGGAGAGATTCTGTCCAGCCCGCAGATCCGCATCCCAAACACCAGGAGGTCTGGGGCTCTGTCCAGGACCAGCCACACATCCTGACTCTTGAGAATTGATTTCCTTGTGGTCCCGCCTATGTCATCTGCTGACGTCTTACTGACTGGCTCTCCAAACGCCAAAATCACTACTCACTGACAACAAGGAAGTGTAACAACAGAATCTGAAGACAGCGGTCTGTTTCTGAGAATCGTATCGCGTTGGGTTCGCTGTTGGAAGATACTTTTATGCTCACAACTCAGTGTTCTGACCACTGAGCCTGGAAGACTCCATCTCTGATTTTTAAAACCAACAAGAGCAGCAGGCTGGGTATGGAATGCGTGCGGAGACCGCGGGCTCAGAGACAATGGAAGCATGTGCTGGTCCGCTTCCGCCTGTCTTCTTTACCAGCCCCACTCGGGAAGGCAGAGAAACCATTCAGTGCAGGCTGAATTAGCTTCATCTCTGTTTCCTCTATCCCTCCAGTGGGGCTCGGGGTCCCACGCACAGAAGGCTCGGGGGTCCCCATTCTGTGACTTCTCACAGCAATGAGTAAGCACCAGGATGTCCGGCACTGTGGTCAGCATCCTGTGATCTTTGGGCAATGACCTTCCTAGTTTAGGCAGAGCCCCAAAAGGGTCAGGTCACAGCACGGAGCACCCCTGCTCCCTGGGCCTCACCTGGGTCCAGCTGGCGGCTGGCCCTGAGCCTTCATCCTGGCTTCCCTGAAGACACTGTGCCCTGCTCTGTGCCCATGCCCAGGGCCCACAAATGTGTGGGACACCAACTGTGGGTGCCTGCCTGGGCTCTGGCACCCTGCTTGGCCTCAGGGACCATGGCAAGGTTGCATGAGGTCACATGAGCCCATGCCATGGACACAGCCTCGCTTTGCTGGTGTAACTGCTCCCCCCACTCAGGCCAATGCCCAGAAAGGAACAGAAGGTCACATCGGCTTGTTCCATTTTCCTGCTCCCCTGCTGTCTTCCGGGCCTGCAGTCCCCATGTTCTTGGGACAGAAAGGAACACGATGGCTTTTTCATGTTTCCTCAGTGTCGTCCTCCTCCCTGATCGCGGTCTTATGACAATGCATAAGGGACACACGAGGCATCTTTTCTTCCTCAGGACAGAGATGATGGCCTGAGTCCTCTGGGCGCGGCCTGCTGAATGCTAAGAAACATGGGGTGTCTTTCTGGTTATTTGTCTTTGTATGTCTCACGTGGCAAGTCCTCATCTCCCCAGGGACACAGAGGCTCTAGGTGGGGTCAGAAGATTCCACACGCAAAGGTATGAGAGAAAAAGCAGAACAGTTTCTCAAGAGTTGGTGGTGACCATTCCATTACACTCCTATACCGAAGCCCGGTGTCCCTCCTCCTGCTGCTTCCTTCCAAATTTGGGTGTTTCTACATGAAATACCTACACCAAGTCTTCTTAGCTGTCAAGATCAGAGAAAGAGCCACAGGTGGGGTCAGTAACTGCCCACCCAAAGCCTCAACTGGATACATGGGACACCGGAAGGCCTAGCCCAGCACCCCCGGCCACCCGGGGCTCAGCGAGCTTCCGCTGGAGCCTTGCGCCATCCACACGCCCACCTCTCCGTGCCCTGCTTCCCTCACCAAAGGAGAGGAAGCTCGTGCCACAAGCCAGCTAGAACACCTGCTCTAACAACATGGGTTTCCAGAACGGCACCCAGTTTGGATAAACACGATTTCTACTAAAATTACATCTACCAAGCATTGGTCACAGTCGGTTTAGGAGATGAGACACAAAGTGGCCAAATCCTCACAGACCAGAGACGTTATGGAACAGATGCACCTCGGGGCTCCGGTGGCTCTGTGTGTTAAGCTCCGACTCTTGGTTTCAGCTCAGGTCATGACCTTGGGGTCATGGGATCGAGCCCTGAGTCGAGGTCCACACTCAGCACAGAATCTGCTTGAAATTCTCTCTCTCCCTCTCCCTCTGCCCCTCCCCCAGCTTGAGAACATGCTCCCCCTCTTTCTGAGATAAATAAATCCAAGTCTTTTTAAAAATAAAAAAAATAGGGGCACCTGGGTGGCTCAGATGGTTAAGCCTCTGCCTTCAGCTCAGGTCATGATCTCAGGGTCCTGGGATCGAACCCCACATTGGGCTCCCAGCTCCGTGGGGAGTCTGCTTCTCCCTCTCCCCCTGCCTCTCCCCTTGCTGTGCTCTCTCTGTCTCTCTCTCAAACGAATAAACAAAAATCTTTAAATAAATAAATAAATAATAAAAATTAACAGATAGATCTCTATTCCCTCTTGTGACAATTCCTTCTTCTGTAAAAGGTAATGTGTCCTTACGGGGCTCAACCTGGCTCCTTCCACAATATCTACAGGAGGCACAGCAGAAGGACACCCTGTTCCTACCTTCACGGTACTTGAGGAGAATGTCCCAGATGCCACGGCGCGAGCAAGGGTCCACCCCGCTGGTCGGCTCGTCCAGAACCACAGTCCTCGAAGTGCCAATGAAGGCAATGCCGATGGACAGCTTCCTCTTCATGCCTCCAGACAGGACGCGGGTCTGTTTGTGCTGATGCTGCGTTAACTCCACGTCCTGGAGAGTTCTGGAAGAAAAACAAAGCCCTCACTCTTCCCCCTGAACGCCAGAAAGCCTTGCTGCAGATTTCGGCCCACCAAAAAGGACCAGTAATGGCCAAGAACGTGTGAGCCACAGACCCCCAGAGAAGGCCTAGAAGCCATTCATGCTCATGAGTCCTGACATGGCGGCACAGACCTTCTTCAGGTTCAGGTGGAATCTTGCCCACAGTCCCCGAGTGAGGCCTGGACAGCAGCATCCACCAAGGGCTGTTTCTGGAAAATGCTCGTCTCCTCCCTGGTAGAGAGTATTCTCAAGGGCCCTACATTTCCTCAGGATGCTGGGAGCAAGTGGGCTGGTTGGGGGCGAGGTGGGTCAGAGGGAGTGAGGCAGAGGCCCAGCTCCAGTGCCCACCGAGGGACGGTCTGCAGAATCCCGGTGCGTCCAGCCCACATGCTCTATGCTGGCAGCCACCCGCCTTCCTGATGGAGAACTTCCTGGGAGATGCCGCCAGCAACGCACGGTTCTTCAGCTGCCGTTCTTGTGGAAGTCGGCCGCCGGCTCCCTCCCGGGGAGCGTCCGAGCGAGAGCTCCTGGTCTCAGACACCCGTGCAAGGAAAGCCTCCCAGCCAGGCCTCGCCTTCTGTGGGTGACTCTTTGCTCACAAATAAGCATCCCACTGTCCACTGTCGACTCCACAGATCCTCATCCCTGTCTTGCCCTCTGACATGGCCCCCGCCAGCAGCGGCCTCCCCAAGCCTTGCCCAGGGCACTCAGACCGAAGTCGATTCCCGCCCCCACCGAGCTGCAGGCGTCCTTCTCACTCCCGGATCGCCAACAGCCAGTCAGACACAAAGCTGGATGGGAGACGAATCATAAGGCTTCTACAGAGCTGAGTGTCAAGAACCATCTGGTTCCAGAAAGTTCCAGAATCCTAGGCAAAGATTTGGGCGAAATCCCAAGGACTTCCTTGCCGGATCCCTACATAAATGTGTCCTGTCCGTTTCATTAGTCACACACTTTCCATCCTGGCCCAGGACGAGCTCATGGGACTTCCCAGGGCCTGACTCTCCTTGTGTTTGGTGCAAGTGTGACTCAGCATTTTCCATCGGGTGAATCTCAACCAAAATTTATACCAGTCACTTAGGTGCCTGCTTTTCAGGTGTTCCCATTGGAGACAGCACCCTGGTTGGGAGGAGGGGACAAATGGTTCATTTTCAGTAGACAACCTCTAGTCTAGACCCTCCGTTCCCACGGCGATGAGGTCACCACCCCCACCTGGTGACCACACTATAGCAGAGTTCATGACTCCTAAAACCACCTCACTCACACCAACCAGAGATCAGTCGGCGGAGAAAACAAACAGAAACCGAGCCAGTAAGAGATCAGGTGACCTCAAGCATGTGCATCCTAAGAACATCTCTATGGCAAGCCCCAAACCCCTCCCATCTCTGTCAAGGCCTGAACCCCATCACACTCACTGACAGCCAGCAGCACCCTGGACCTTGTCGTTTTGTGACTCCCCCCCCAGAGGTCGACGCCAGCTCATCATGGCCCCCGGCATCACTCAACCCCACCCACTCAGCTGCCCACTGTCCTCCACTCACCCCAGGCCTTCCCTCCCTTCCTCTGTGAGTGTGATGTCCCCACACTCTGCTCACCTCCTCCCATCTCCCCTGAGCGGGCCCTGAGCCCCTCGGCATCCCCTCTCCCCAGCACACAGGACAGCTCCCAGGCAGGTCATCCTCTGTATTTCAGGTCACTTGCTCTGTATTTGAAACACCCATCCCCTCCCCACATCACATTTCCATCTTGTTACTGTCCCCCCTCTGCTCCCTCTCTCTCCACTGTCTCTTTAATGGGCTCCAAGAACATCTTCCTCCCCATCATGTTCCTAAAACTGCTTCCATTTCCGGCTGCTCACCAAGGACCCCCATGTCCTAAACCCACAAGTGGTTCCTCAGTCTCCATTGCCCTTGACCCCGAACAGCATCTGATGTGCTTGACTGTCGCTCCTCCCTCATGGTGTCTCCTTCTCACCCCTGGCTGGTACCACTCATCCATCCACTGTCTTCATGTCCAAGTGCCCAGCGCTCAGCCCTCTGCCCTCCCTTGTCTACCCGCTCTCAGGACCTCAATGACCTATCACCAATGACCTACCAGCGTCATGCTGGAGACCCCCAGCATGCCCCACAAGCCCAAGAGCCAATGAGACCATGTAATGACATCTCCTCACCTAAAGTTCTGATAAAGTTCCTCTTTGGACTTCTCTTATCCCCTCTAGGCCAATTTAAGGGCAAAACAGTAGCGACCTGCACTCCTGACAGACACTCTCTCTAAAGATTCTTCCGGGGATCCCACCTCCCTTGGCGCACAGGCTAACAGCCCTACGCAATCGAGGGCCTGTCCGGGACCCAGTTCGGACTGTGCTGGCTCCGAATCCCTGGCTTTCAGCTTCCGCCCCCTCTCACTGAGAAGCGCTGTCGTAAAACATGATCTCACTCTGATTGCTCCTGTGCAAACTGGCTTCTTTGCTAAGTAACACACAGCACACCGGGAACTATTACGGTCGCCTACATCCAAAAAAAAAAAAAAAGATGAAGCCCAGACGCGTGGTTAGGAACCTGACTTAAGCGCAGTCACAGACTTTGCTGGGACCCAGCATGGCCGCAGGAAGGCGGTGGGACCCCCGCATCCCTGCAGCAGCACTGCGCAGCTGTGAGCTGACCGGGGAGGGAGGGCCAGGCAGGGGGACATGGCAGCCGTGCGCACGGAAGGACTGGGCGGCAAGTCATTTCACCTGCCCGGCTTGGTTTCCAGTAATACCACCAAAGGTCATAAGCCACCATGTGGGTTCTCATGGGCCCTGTTCACAGTGGTCTCTGCCCCCAGTCTCCCAGCGCTGCGTGCTCTGCTCTGGGGTCATAGGATAAGCCTACCAGGGCCACAGCTGATTGTTCCCCAACCCCACCCGCCCACGTGCACCTGCTTGTGTGAGGAAGTTCGACCCCCTCCTCAGGACCACTTGGACTCCTGGCAGCCAGTTCTCAGCCCACCCCCCATCTGTCATCTCCCGAGCCCCAGACACAAACCTTCCATGCGCAGCCCGGGCCACACATTCCCACCTGTGCCCCCCACCTCCTCTCGGAAGTACCTCCCCTAAGAGGACAGACCAAGTCCCGTTCAGAGTCTTCCCTGAGAACCTTCTCTGGAAATCCAGTGCTGGCGGCGGTGTCCTGACTCCACAGGTAAGAGCTATTTGCTAGTTTGGGGAGAGCCTAGGTGGCTCAGCCGGTTAGGCGACCGACTCTTGGTTTCAGCTCAGGTCATGATCTCAGGGTTATGGGATCAAGCCCCGTGTCAGGCTCCCTGCTCAGCATGAAACCTGCTTGGGATTCTGTCTCTTTCTGCCACTATTCCTGCCCCACCCTGCCTGTGCTCCCTCTCTCTCTAAAAAACAAAACAAAACAAAACAAAACAAAATTTGCTAGGGTTTTCTTCTCATAAATAAAGACATCAGAGATATTTTTAAAGCCTCTCTTCCTACACCCACCACTATTTTATGGGGCAGAGAGCAGGAGGACGAAGACAGGCCAGGCGCTGACCTACTGACTTGCTGACTCAGCTCCTTCCAGGTCCACTGTGGAGCCTTTACAGAGGCAAAGAGCAGCAGGTGCTCACGGACAGTGAGGTTGTCGAACAGGACCCCCTGCTGTGGACACACGCCCAGCTCCTTTCTGATGGAGGACAAGTCTGTCTGCAGGTTCCTGCCATTGATGATGATGGTTCCAGAGGTGGGAGCGTAGAGTCCCGTCAGCATAGATCTGCCAGAGAAAAGAAATCAGCAGAGGACGGAGGCAGTGGCTGCTTCCAAGGTGGGCAACCCGGGCCTCCCCAGGGTGACCCCCCCCCACCTGTTTTCCACTCCTCGGGACGTTGGCTGGTTTCATCGTGGAAACGTGGGTTTACGACAATGTTTACACTCCCTCAATATGCTGATCAGAGACCATTCCAGTGCATGGGAGTTTAAAATTATAAATCCAGCTCCGTTTTACAGATAAGGAAACCAGCTCAAGAAAGGTGTGTTTGGGGCATTTGGGGGACTCAGTCGTTAAGCATCTGCCTTCAGCTCAGATCATGATCCCAAGGTCCTGGGATCGAGTCCTGCATCCGTCTCCCTGCTCAGCGGGGACTCTGCTTCTCCCTCAATTGGCCCTCTTTGGAAGCTCGCTGGTCTGAACCGACCTAAGGAAGCCGGGGGACCCTGTTATCTCAGGACATTTACTATTTAGGTTTGAGACTGCTTTCACATTTCTAAGAAATTATACATACACCCACCACAGCACGTAGCAAATCCCTAAGTACTTATGCAAGACACGGGGAAATGTGTGTCCGCAGATGGTCACAGCCACTGGAAATGCACTCACCTGCCACCCACACCAGGAGCAAAGACAAGAACCCTGTGGGCTCTACAGAGCCCAGGGCCAGGTGGTCAGCCATGGACGCATCACCACCACCAGGAAGCCTCCAGGCATCAGCACAATGAAATAAGCCAGACTGGATTCCATTTACATGACATTCTAGAAAAGGCAGCCTCCTTTACAGCGACAAACCTCCGATCTGTGGTCACTTGGGGGTCAGGGTCGGGGGGGCACAGGAAAGCACCAAGAGGGGGAAACGTGCTCTGTTTCACCACCATGATGGTCACCGGTGCGTGAGCCAAACAGGGGTTGGAGCTCAGCAAACTGCCCAGAGCGACTCAGACACGTCCCAGACATGTCCCCAAAGGAACGCAGGCAGGGACCTCGAAACTTGGAGAAACTCCAAATTTAAGTCTAATTGTTCTGCTGAACGCAAACACCAGGTTTTGCTTTAAGAAACGCGAGCTCGGGGACGCCTGGGTGGCTCAGTTGGTTAAGCAGCTGCCTTCGGCTCAGGTCATGATCCCAACGTCCTGGGATCGAGTCCCACATCAGGCTCCTTGCTCATCAGGGAGCCTGCTTCTCCCTCTGCCTCTGCCTGCCATTCTGTCTGCCTGTGCTTGCTCTCTCTCCCTCTCTCTCTCTCTGACAGATGATTGAATAAAATCTTTAAAAAAAAAAAAAAAAAAGAAACGCGAGCTCGCCAGAGCACGATGTGGGAGGCTGGCTTTCAGAGTTGTCGTGCCGCGGAATGCTCACTCCCACCTGAAAACACGGCAAACATACTCAGTGGCCTCTCCAGCTCTGTTCAGCATCGACACCAAGAGGAAAACTTTCTTTTTTTTTTCTCTCTCTTTTGATTTCCCTCCTCGTTGAGATTTCTGAAGCTTTCTGCATGTTATTTTGCTACTCTTCTCAAGAAGTTCAAAGGAGGGTAAGTCAATCAGAGAAAGACAATGATCACATGATCTCACTCCTATGTGGAATTTGAGAAACAAAACTGATGAACACAGGGGAAGGGGAACACAAATAAAATAAGCGGACGTCCGAGAGGGAGGCCGACTATAAGAGAATCGTAACTGTAGGGAATGTGCTGAGGGCTGCTGGAGGGGAGGTGGGGGAGGGGTGGAGAAACTGAGTGGCGGGCATGAAGGAGGCCACGTGACAGAAAGAGCACGGGGTGTTAAACGCAACTGATGAATCGCTGACCTGTATCTCTGAAACCAATAATGCACTCTATGTTAATTGATTGAATTTAAATAAAATAGAATAAATCTTTTTTTTTTGAAAGAAGCTCAAAGTGGGGGTGCCTGGGTATCTCAGTGAGTTGAGCCTCTGACTCTTGATTTTGGCTCAGGTCATGGTCTCAGGGTCCTGGGATCCAGTCCCGCATCGGGCTCCCTGCTCAGCGGGGAGCCTGCTTCTCCCTCTCCCTCTGACTCACCCCCCCGTTCTTGTTCTCTCTCTCTCTCTCTCTCAAATAAATAAATAAAATCTTTAAAAAAAAAAAAAAAAGAAGTTTGACGCATATAGTCCTTTTCATTGTTTAACTAAGCATGCTTTAGTCCTACTGAAAAAGAACAGAGAAACGGGTTTATTCGCAGGACAAGTTTGGCAATGTCCGTGGTCTAACCTAAATGGCCTCGGGCTGCTTTGCGAGCCCCCCGCTTTTAAGCTCTTTATTCCTCTGGGATCCCGTGATTGGATTCTTTAATCAAATCTGGAGCCAGTGGACCCCAAACCAAAAATCAAGACTTCACAAAAAAAAAAAAAAAAAAAACATAACCACACAAAAAGCAGAACATGAAAACAAAATTACTGAGGCGATTAAAACATTTGCAGACGTCATGCCAAATTTCATCTTCCCAGATAAGTGAGCAAAATTCAATGTAGCGTAGGACAGTGAGAAGTGTCCTTGGGCTCTCAAACACCGAAGTAAAACCATGGCACATTACTTGCTGGGAATAAAAGAAGTAGGGAAAAGACCCCCCCCCACCACCACGTAACTGTCCACCCAGAGCATGGAGCGGCTCGGGCGAGGGGTTCGGTCCTCTGTTTCCAAACAGAAATGAAGGAAAACAAGTGTGATCTCACGTGAACTGAGACTGTTCTTAAAAGTCCGTGTGGGACGAGGATGAAATGGGACTCACATGACGGTGGTTTTCCCGGCGCCGTTGGTCCCCAGCAGGGCAGTGATCTGGTCTCTGTGGAAGGTTAGGGTCAGGTCCCGCACGGCTGCCTTGTGTGGCTCGTACTCCTTGGTCACGGACACCAGGGCGACACCCGGGGGGCCTCCTCCAGGCTTTCCCTCCCCGTTCTGCAGCGCGGACCCTGAGAAGAGAAGATACAGACTCTTCCTGGCGGACCCCACGAGCCCCCAGGGTAATGCCCACGTGCACCAGTCTAGGGCCTGCCGTGGACTTGAGCCGTAGCTCTGGGAAACACACAGCAACTCAAAACCCTTCCTTACCAAAAGCAAAGGGAGAAATTAGATTAACAGCAAAACTTAAATGAAATGGCTGGTGGCAGGGGCGCCTGGGGGGCTCAGTCGGTGAAGCGGCTGCCTTCAGCTCAGGTCATGATCCCAGGGTCCTGGGATCAGGCTCCCTGTTCATCGGGGAGCCTTCTTCTCCCTCTGCCTCTGCCTGCCACTCCCCCTGCTTGAGCTCACTCTGTCTCTCAAATAAATAAAAATTTTAAAACAAACAAACAAACAAACAAAAAAACATTGCAATGTTGACTGTGGTATCAACTATCATGATGGGAGCTTGTATATCTACAGACTGTCCCCGAAGTCTTACTTTCATGGACCAGCAGGTGTAAGTGACACACAGAGGGCCACAGGGACAGGGGTCCTGCCCTGTCTCCCTGGCCGCACGCTCCTCGCTTGTAAGGGACAGCGATGGTCTTGCTCTCACGACAATGTTGGAGACACTAGCATTGGCGATGTCTACAGCCCACAGCCCTGGGCAGCTGTCCCCCTTTGCTTTAGCATCTCACACACATTCATGCTGCACCCAGCACACAGAAAGGCTGCAAACAGCAGGTGGGGGGGTAACACCCCAGGGCTCTGGCCCCCAGGCTCAGCATCATCTGGGAATTCTCTCTGGCCACTTGGCCCCCAGCTGTGCTTCTGAGCCCAAGACCAGCCCTGGCCAGGCGACAGCCACAGAAGGTGTACACAGTTACAGTGCCTCGACCCAGACGAAAAGCAGAAGCAAAACCTGCCAGAAGGGAAGACACATATCTAATACCACTACCCCTCACAGACCTTTGTTATCAAAGTGCTCGTTGATGAAGGACAGGTCAGAACCAGGCGCCTGCGGTGTTTTTGCCACAAAACCCCACAAATTCTTCCAGTATGATGCAGTAAAGGGAAAATACCACGGTTTCCTTAAGCCAAAATTTCCTAAAAAATAAGACACAGTTAAAATCGGTAGACTTCTTGTTTTCTACTTGGAAGATTCTGTACGAGAATGTCTTTGCTAATTAATACACAATGTTATTCCATGTTAAACTGTTGAAGGCGCATCCCACATGTGACCCAGCGACAATCCGGGGGACGGGGTGTTAGCCCTGTGCGGAGCCCCCACGTTCCGTCTTCAGCCTGACCCACACCCCCCTCCCCCAAGTGTTCGGTGAACAGGCTGGTATTTATTAAGAATAAAAGTAGCATTGAACGATTGCTGAATGTTCCCCAGAGGAAAGCTTGCCCAGCCCCGCTGCCCCTCTCTCTTGTCCCGTCTTTGATGTTTGCATGGTTCCTAGACACGGATTAACAGCGTGAAGGAATTAATCCATTAAAACATCGACAAAGAAGAACACATAATGCAACATTTCCATATGAAACATCGACATTCTTCAAACGTACTCTCCAAATTCATTACGGCCCACTTAATAGTCACTTTGCCCTCATTATATGTTGAAATGAAAGTGGATTTAATTATTAACACCTCTCAATTTTCTTTAACACATCCATTCTGGCCTAAATTCGATGCGTGTTCCAAATCCTCCAAGCGATTGAAGAGATAAGGGCCTACGTGAAGACTGTTTTGACACTTGGACCCTCCCACCAAGGGGAGGTGGGTGACCTCATCCTGTCCAAGCCAAAGATTCAGAGACATGATCACAAAGCAGAACGGGCAAGTGAAGGAGGGTGCGGGGCTGGTATCCTGTATAACGGTCACTTCTGGTACAAGCTGAGCTGAGTGGCCCAAAATTCATGCTGCAATCCGAACCCCCAGGAACTCAGAATGGGGCAGTATTTGGAGGAAGGCTTTCAAGAGATAATTAAGGTTCAGTGAAGTCTCTGGGTCAGCCCTCATCCGATCTGGTGCCCTTACGGGAAGAGATTGGGACACAAACAGGGAGCGCGGACAGACCAACAGGACACGAGGAGAAGGAGGGAGACCTCAGGAGAACCGGCCTTGTCCATGCCTGGATCTTGGGCCCCTTCCAGACTCCAGGGCGGGAGAGACTGGATTTCTCTGGTTAAGCCACGCAGCCCGGGTCATCACACCAGCCCTAGAAAATGTGCAAGAAGCAGCGGAATGTTCTCCAAGACTCCAGCAAACCACTAACTACCCCTCCCCAGTAAGAGACGAGCAGCCCACGCATAATGATATCCTCCCCATGCTCTCCCTGCCGTCCCTGCCCAGGAGCCTCCCTGTGTTCATTCACATGGGCCTGCGACCGCGCAGCGTGGGGGTCTATGACCACCTCTCCCTCCCAGGGGGAAGGACACAGGCTGCTGAACTGTATGCAGCAGCCCCGCGGCACAAGCCTCTCTGCACGCAGCAGTGACAATTCTCCGTGGCCCTCCATCCAAACAAGACATGCACGGGAATGGAGGGCAGAGCTCCTGCCCGGGGCATGCATGCTGAGTTTGCAGAAATAAAAGGAGAGAAGCCAACAGAGGAAGCAGGAGACTCTTCGACCAGAGCTGGTGGCTGCTACTCCAGCCCCCGCATCCAGCCACCGTCTTCTGCTGAGGGACCCTGTTCCGTGACCTCGGGTCACTGTCCTTGACAGCATCCCTGTGAGTGGGCGCCGCCTGCTGGATGGGCAAGTGGGCGACCGATTCACATGCCCTTGGTGGGGGCAGATCAGAGTCTGCACGAGCAGGGGCAAAGGCGGCACCTGGACACATGGACAGGAGTTCAAGGACCTCCAAACCATCCCCAGGAGGTCCACGGAGACCTGATTTGGGGTCATGGCTGCAGGGACGGGAAGGACGGGAGACACGGGAGGGGCCTTTTGAAACTGGAAACAAATTGAATATTAATGGCCAGTTTGCTAATTAAGCCATCCCAGCTCTAATCTGTTTGCACTTTTAAAGTCCTGCTAATTAATCTATTAATATAAATGGACGGGGGTTGGCGGGGGAAGGCTGCCAAATCCGCTAGCAGGGAGGCCCCTCAGCTCCGACGCTGTCCTCTGCTCTTTGCTGTTGCTTGTAAATCCAAACGTGTTTCATGAGCACTGCATGAGCACGGGCTTCCCGCTCACATTACCATATGTAGCCGGGCACATTAATATATGCAAAGGCCCTGCGCTTCTCCGGAGCGCTTCACAGCCCGGGGAAGCTGCCTGCTGGCTCGCGCGGGGCAGGAAACTCATTAGCATTGCCCCCCAAAACCTGACAGTGATAAAAGCAGAAGTCAATGAAACTAGACATATCGAGTGAAATCAAATTTAATTGGAAGCACATAAAGAAGAGTTTATGAAACGAAAAGACTTGGAGAGGACCAGATGTCTGCCAGGGAGCTCTGCACAGGCACGGGGATCTGCACCTGACCTTGAGCCTGGCGGGCCAGGAGGCCAGACCTCCCGCTCAGACACCAGGGTGAGACATGCAGGGGTCTGGACCCGCCCCATCACTCCACGGACAAGACAGACAGAAGGATGCGGAGAGCAACAGCGAAACTGTTGCTACCCAGCTCTGGCTGGGGAGGCCTGCTGCCCACCACAGACTCGCAAACAGCGACTCTCAGCTTGCTGAGACCTCGTAGAGGGGTTCTGGAAATGTGGGAGGGAGGGGGGACTTTGGGCTGGCACAGCGAATGGACGTTTTCAATTGTAGCTTTTATTATTATTCAGGCATGGGGAGTCCGAGAGATCAGGAAACCAGCCCTTGAAAGGATGGTTTGCTATTCAGGTCCCAGGAGGACAGGGCACCGGGGTAGGGAGGACGCAGGCAAGCACCAGGTCCGTCAGGAGGCGCAGGGAGAGGACAGTGAAGGCTAGACCCTTTACTGTACTTTCTGGGGAAGGAGCAGCTGAAGCAGGGTCAGCAGGCTCTGGGGCACAGCGGCTGTCCCAGTTACTGGGTCCCTGGCCCTGGGGCCATGAATTATGAGACAGGAGATGTATCCTTGGTTACGCTTCATCATTACCTGCCCCATGTTTTTTTGTTTTCTCTCATTTTTTAAGATTTTATTTATTAGAGAGGGAGTGTATGAGTGTGTGGTTGGCAGGAAGGAGCAAAGAGAGAGGGACAAGGAGATTCCATGCTGAGCATGGAGTCTGACATGGGGCTCAATCCCATGATCCTGAGATCATGACCAGAGCCGAAATCAAAAGTCAGATGCTTAATAGACTGAGCCACCCAGGTGCCCCTGACCCATGTTTTATCATGAAAAGTTATCTGACCCCACACTTTCAAATAAGACCCAGATTATTTACAAAAATGTCATTATTTTATCTACTTCCCTCGGCTCTGTTTCATCCCACATTATTCCTACTCTAATTAAAATCATTCCCACATTTCTTATCGTATAGAAATAATTCTGGTTGCTCTGAATGACCTCAACATTAGTTTTTATAAGAGTTTTTATACCATTTATCTCTGTCATATATATTCCTTGCTTCCAGTACCAAATGGGGTTGGGTCTTTTTCCTTCCCTTAAATCCAAACTTACTCCACAGAAGTAAGAAAAAGCATCTGAGTACTTCCCTCCTCCTTATAATAACGTTATGCCTGGGCATTGTTAAAATTACTTTCTTTTTATTTCTTTTATATTACAGAGAAGACAGTACATTAACTTCTTGAATCAGGTAGGTAAGCAGGCCTTATTATCTGTGAATTCTATTTCAGGAGAGTAAAGGAGCATTACAAAATATTTGTCTTAAAAAGAACACATTAGGTCAGCGAGCTCCTCAAAATCGCAATCCCACTTAGGAATCTGAAAGCCCATCTGTATTTTCTGGCAATTTCATTTTTTGTTATTATTGTCAGACTGGGTGGGAGTTAAAAATAAATAGTGTAATTTGTACAGTATATACATTATTGAAATGTAATGTAAACAGTGTCACTTAAGGATATGTAAGCTATATACAGGGCAATTTAATGTCATGATTAAAAAAAGGAAGACAAATCTGTTGTGATCTTTGACCAACTCCATGTCTTTTTATTTTTAGATATGTTTTCAGGGCACCTGGGTGGCTCAGTCAGTTAAGCCTCTGCCTTCAGCTCAGGTCATGATCTCAGGGTCCTGGGATCAAGTCCCACATCGGGCTCTCTGCTCACCGGGGAGTCTGCTTCTCCTTCTCCCTCTGCCTCTCCCACCCAGTCATGCTCTCTTGCTCTCTCTCTCTCCAATAAATAAAATCATTTTTTAAAAAAGAACTTATAAAACTCAATACCCAATAAAACAAATAATCCAATTAAAATACGGACAGAAGACATGAATAGACATTTCTCCAAAGAAGACATCAGATAGCCAACAGTCACATGAAAAGTTGTTCAACATCATTCACCATCAAGGAAATGCAAATCAAAACCACAATGAGATACCACATCACACCTGTCAGAACTAAATCTAAAATCAACAACACAAGAAACAACAGGTGCTGGCAAAGATGTGGAGAAAGGGGAGCCCTCGTGCACTGCTGGTGGGAATGCAAACTGGGGTGTAGCCATTGTGGACAACAGTATGAAGGTTCCTTAAAAAATTAAAAATAGAAATACCAAATGATCCAGTAATTCCACTACTTGGCATTTACCCGAAGAATATAAAACCACCAGTTTGAAAAGATATACACACCCCTATGTTTATTGGAGCATTATTTACAGGAGTCAAGTTATGGAAAGAGCCCAAGTGTCCACTGACTGATGAATGGGTAAAGAAGATGTGGTTTATACATATGCTGGAATATTACTCAGCCATCAAAAGGATCAATTCTGCCATTTGCGATGACATGGATGGAACTAGAAGGTCTTGGGCTAAGCGAAGTAAGGCAGTCAGAGAAAGACAACTACCCTATGATTTCACTCCTATATGGAATATAAGAAACAAAAAAAGCCACCAACAAAAAAAAGGACACAAACCCCAAACAAACAGACTCAACTCTAGAGAACACACTGATGGTGACCAGAGAGGAGGTGGACGGGAAAGTGGGGGAGACAGTGATGGGGATGAAGGAGCACACCTGTCGTGAAAAGCACAGGGAGTAGGGAGGTGCTGAATCAGTATGTTATATACCTGAAACCAATATTACATTATATATTAACTATACTGGAATTATTATTTTTTAATTTAACTAAATATTATTCTTTTATCCCTTATTTCATAGATGGTTTGGTCCACTGCCATGATCTCCCACATCCCACACCCACATATGTTCTTGTAAATCAGAATTCCGTGGATGTGTAACTAGTTCAAAAGGGTCCATATTACAAATGCGAAACTGATTCATAATCAATCCATCTCTTAGATCGAAATGGAGGTTTGCCAGAGTTTTGCTTTCAAAGATAATGTGCAAGTAGTGTCTATGTGCAAACGTACTTTGCATTCATCTGGATATTTCTTTAAAATTCGGAGTCAAAGAGAATAAATATTATTTTAATATTTTGTTATTTATTTTAATGTACTTTTTACCATTTTTTAAAAGATTTTATTTTCAAGTCCTCTCTAGACCAAACATGGGGCTCGAACTCACAATCCCGAGATCTGGAATTGCACCTTCCACGCCTGAGCCAGCCAGGCACCCTGAGAATAAACATTTTAAGACTTTTTAAACATAGGACAAATTTGACACACTCTACTACTTGTCAACTGACATTATCACCAATTATTTAATTTTCCCATAAACTAAATGTTTACACAGAAAAATCAGGCCCAGATGACCGGCCAACAATGGCAATCTGTCTTCGTGGTCTGACATCTCTGTCTTGTTGTGTGTTGCTCCCTTCCCCGGTGGCTGGGGCTTTCACCTCAACATCTAATTCCTGCCCATGGCAAGCACCTGCAGGGGACGCTGAGCACAGCACGGGGCACCCCAGCTGAGACATGATCACCTGTCCTCCCTCTCTGGTCCCTGATCTCCACCCACCTCACCTTCCCCAGCCCTGAGAAGACACCACAGCCAGGAGAGAGCCTCCCCAGCTCCCAGAGTCACTATCGCCATCATCATACCCAAAGCCCTTCTTGCAGAACCTGCACGGCTACCCTCCTTTGTAGGATCTCTGTCTCCGTCCCCCCGCCCGCTGTCCCCGTCCTGGAGCCAACCGCACCTGCGGAAGTGAGTGGGAGCGGGGGTTCGCTCGCTGGAAATGCCTTACTTTAATATAGACAATGTTCCCACCAGGATCCTCATGCCTCCCGCCCTGAAGGAGGAGGGGAGAACTCAGATCTTTCTAGATTCCTGCCCAAATTTCCTATGGGTCTCTGCACTGCCGAGGGTGACCTGCCTTTGCTGGTGTTCATGCTTCTCTGTGGACTCCAACACATCACCATTTTATATGTAGCTGTAGGTCCCTATTCGTGAATGTTGTGTTCAATATGGCGAGCCCTGACTCTGCCAAGCTCGGATTTCCTCTCCTTGGTTAATGACTGTTCCCGTTTCTATTCTGTTTCAATCAGTCTGTGGGTCCCCTCAATGGGGAGAGCATCAGTCTGTGAGACCTGCCGTCTGTCTGTCTCCTTCCAGCCACCTGTCTGCGTCTCTCCCAATGCCGGGGACTCCCTGCCACCCTCCCGTCCCAGCCGAGACTTGCCTCATGACCCCCTTCCTCAAACATTTTAACGTCGATATCACACGTGCACGTTCTAACTTCCCTCCCTCGTGCCGGCTAGCCGCCTTTTAACACCCATGGCTTCTCCTTCCGTTTTATTTCACCTTGGTATTCCTTAGTTAACTTTTTTTTTAACTTCTTATTTCCTAGAATCCAGTTTTTCTTTAATTTTTTCCAAAGTCCGCAGACCATGCAACGTAAAATTTGAAAATAAAACCCATTGCAGGCTTATGCACTTGCTCTCATTCTTGGAGGCCGCGTGTTCCTGCTTTTCTGTAAAGTAATCTTGTCAGTGGCACCGTTCGTTTGGATTTTTACTCATCCTTCTATGACGCATGGGCGCTCCAAGTCTTAAATACGTTTTTGGAAACGGAATGGACGGCTTGTCTTTGTATCCCTTCATAGTCCATGTGTGTATGATTAGAATCTCTCTCTGTGTGTCTGTCTGTCTCTATCTCTGTCTCTCATAGTTCTTAACTTTTAAAGGTTAGATGTCACTTCAAATATCCAGATGCTTTGGAAAGAGACAAAATCACAAGTCATTTCAGCAAGGGCATAGACTATCATCAAAATACCACTGCTAAAAATGTAAAATAAAGAGACTTTTAAAGCTGTTTCTGCTCTTTTCATCCTGAGCCAGGTGTGTGGTAAGGGTACCTCCTTCCCCACGAACATGGCAGGCAAAACATTACTATTGGTGGCCTGGCTTCCCACGGCCTCCAGGATGCACCTGCCGTTCCACGGAAGAAATCTCACACTTGACACCACTAACACTCTGGGTTTGGAGGTGACACCTGACCCCAGCCCCCAGCACAGCCCCTCATCCTCAGCCTGGTTTCCCACCAGGTTCTGCCCCCTGCCCTGGCAGAGAGCAGGGTCCCTCCACTCCAGCTCCACACTGTCTCTGACTCCTGCCCAACCTGGTCCCCGTGGGGCCAAGGACACACATGCCGCCAGACTCTCCCGTCCCCACTCCCCACATCCCTGGTCCAGAGAACCCTGATCCTGGGTCTTTCCTGTTCTTGACAGAAGCCCACCCCAGGGAGCCGCTTGGTGGCCCGGGACCCGGGGTGGGGGGGGGGGCGCTCCGTCAGCCTCCGGGCACTTGTGTCCTATCCTCACATGGCCTTTACCGTTTCCTTCAGGACCTGGGCAGCCCACCTGCTCCTCGAGCCTTCACAGCTCCCTCTCAAACACATCCTACGAAGCCCCCTCTGAGCTCCCATTTAAATTTAGATAATTATCATTCTAATATCCATGCATATTAGATTTAAATTCTATCAGATGAGATGATTAGATGTAAACGCATGATTTAAACCTGTTTTTTAGCTTCTTTGGGGCAACTTTGATGACATAGAATTCTTACCGGGAATCAAGTTGTTCAAGTACCAACCACATAAGAAATAAAGGCCTGAATCGACAGCCATCATCCAGCAAACCCAGCCAAACGTCATGCCCGACGGTTCCGGAGGCTGGTACATGTTACTCCACTGGACCCCTGGAAGGAAGGGAAAGGCAGAGTCAGAGCCTCACAGCCTCTCTCGGGGCAGATCTGGGTGAGTAAGTCCGTGCGTTCTGGAAGCTCGGAGCAGAGCTGAACGCCGCTGAAACAAAGGCAGGCCCTCCCACGGATCATGGTTCCTCAGAGGAGCCGGGAGGCTGCCCAATCTCCCGTAATTTCAGGGAAACCAGGTGGACTGGCTTTCGCCACTTTAGAATATCCAACAGTTTGTTGTTGTTGTTTTATTTTTGTGTTGTTTTACTTCTACCTTGTTTCTTGTCTCACCAAAATGCATCTATCGGGGCCACTGGGCCGTGGGGTAATCACACCCCCTGAGGCAAGCCCCAGCGCCTGGAATGAAGACCTTGTCCTCCGGCCCTTGTAACAGGACACCGGAAACGCCTAGAAGCCTGAATCCCCCGTCTCTTCTGACAAAGGTTTCTCCCCTTCCTTACCTGCTTCCTGTCCTTCTAGGAAGGTGACGAAAAACACTCCTTGTCCAAAGGCCGTGGTGGAGAGCAGGCACTGCCCACAGGGAACGGAGAGAGAAACAGCACATTAGCACTGCCCCAAGACCCCAGAAAACCCACGGCGCTACATGCAAACGCAGAAGCCACCACCCCCTGCCCCCTGGCGATGGCAAAGCATCACTCCAGGCAGGGATTTCGACATTGGACCCTGGGAGACTGAGCCAAACGTCAGCCCACTCTGATAGGCTGATAACAAGCTAGTTTTTAATGGGGAAGGGAATTCTCTCTCTTCCCCGCGGTGCCTAAAGTGCCAGAGACCCGAGCACCGCATACAGAAACGCGTAACGGGAAACGGTGGAGAACGGAACACAGCGATTTCTTGTTTTTCATTATTAAGTGGATGGCCTGGAGCATGCCACAGGCAGACCGACAGATGGTCCCTGCAATTCTGCGCTAGAGAGAGAGCGCCCTGGAGGAAAGCGCTGTTTTGTTCCCACGGGGCAGGTCCTACGTCCACGGAAGAACCTGCTGGACACGTATTTCACACTTAAAAACATCAGGCACCAGAGTTAGGGTTTTTTTTTTTCCTTTTTTTTTTTTTTTGCAAGGAAACGTTTGAACATGGGAAAAGGAACTCAAACATTGTATGCTGGAACATTTAAACAAATGCATTGAAGTAAAGGCACCGCAGTATTTGAAATTCGGGCCATGTAAGGAGTAGCGGGGAGCGGGGTTGGGTAAAGGGTCCCAGTCATTTTCACGATTCTGGAAACAGCTAACAAACACTAACCCAAAATTATTGGTTCCGCTAATTAGAACTGGTGAACACCCATCAATGGATAAATTCTGATTAAAGGTGGCATTTCGGGACACCTGCGTGGCGGTCGGTGAAGCGTCTGCCTTCAGCTCAGGTCATGATCCTGGGGTGCTGGGATCGAGTCCCGCATTGGGTAAGTTTCTGCTTACCTGCTCAGCAAGAAGCCTGCTTCTCCCTCTGCCTGCTGCCCCTCCCTGCTTGTGCTCTCGTGCTCTCTCTCCCTCTCTCCCTTACTCGCTCTCAGGTAAGTAAGTAAGTAAGTAAATAAATAAATAAACAAAATCTTAAATAAATAAACATGTAAAGGTGGCATTTCTTCAACGGGCTGTGTGTCCATGGCCAGTAGGAATGGTGGAGGTTCACGGATGTTGGAGAAAAATAATGGGGCTCTCACAGAGGTATTCTCCCTGAGTCTCTAAGGGAGCAGAAAAAGTGACGCTGTCCCTACAAGCAAGGGTCCATCAGCTGTCATTGTGCTGTGTGGGACAAGTGACCTCCCACAGCCTTCAAGGGTCCTGTAGGAGCCCTGAGATCCTAGGCTTCCTGGGCACCTCCCAAATTCTCCCTCAGTGGCTCCAGTCACACCTCCCATCAGACTGCATTTGGGGAACCTGGCCTGACCTGTGGAGGGAGGAGAGGTCTGGGGCTGGGTCTCTACAGCCGACCGTCCTCACGGCCACGCATGCGTCCCCTCCCCATGGACAGAGCTCTCAGTGCCCGCCGAGCACTTCTCACCCAAGAAGGAATGGGCGTGTCTCTTCTGTGTATTTCGTGTCGCACACCCAACAGAATCACCCTACTCATTCAGGCGGGCGCACTTTAAACAGTGAATGATTCTGACGTCGCTAACAGAGGGATGGTTCCACTCAGTGTGATGTCATTCCTGATGCTTCGAGAAAAACACTTATTTTTTGCCGCTAAAATAGCTTTGGGAATCTATGTCTTTCCATCCGTGAAACAGACAGACACGGAGGTCCTACGCTGCCTTTGGGGCATGGCCGATTTCCAAAACGCCCCCAGAGTAGAGACCCCGTTACATGGGAAGTGCCAATTCCTTATGGGCTCCCTTCCAGGAAAATCGCTACAATGCCAGTGCGCGGAGGCTGCAGGGTTGGCCTCCAGGGACCAAATAAAGAGAAGGAGGTAACCGGGAGCCCACCCAGATCTAGAAATGACAGACTGATGGAGTGAGGTCGTAACCGATTTGTCGGGTAAATGCAGCAATTAAAAAAAAAGAAGAAACTTACCAGAAACGTCTGTATGACAACACTGAGCTGGTTATGGAGAACCAACAGCACTATGTAGGGCAGAAAGCTGATCATGTACACCAGGCTGGTACAGAGGGCAGCTGTGTTCGCTCGGCTGAAAAACACACTCAGGAAGTAACTCAGCATGACGACCGACACCCCGAAATCCAGGAGAAAGAGGAAAATGATGCAGGCGTTGCTGTGCGTGAAGATGCCGCTCGCTTTGAGGATGATGGCCAGTGCTACGCTGCTCAAGGCTAACACAGCCACGTTCTCCAGGAACCAGGCCAGGAAGAAGACAGTGGGATGCACGCCCATCATTCTCGTGTACTGTCCAAAGAAGGAAACGCAGGGTTATCACCGGGATCCTTGAGAAAGAACAGATCTTGTCACAGGAGGCAGGTGGCGCTAGAAATGCCCATGCTGGGGCCAGCCTGGCCATCAACCCAGGGTAGAACCCGGAGCCCAGCACCCCTTGTAGGGAACACTCCCTGGGGAGGTCATGGCCATGAGCCCACACGGCAGAGGGGCAGGACCAGCCCCCAGCCCCCAGGCTCGAGCGATGGCCATCGTGCCATGTGCTCCCTTATCCACTCGGACTTTGCTAGCTTTGCTTCTTTTTCCTTTTTTGTTTTTTCAGTTTTTTTTTTTTTTTGCTTTGTTTTTGGCTGTTTTCCACTTTTTTTTTTTCTCCATTTCAGTGGTGTTGGTTTGGTTTAATGAAGACAAACAGAACAATGAAGGGAGGGGGGATACTGGACCCTAAGCTGTTCAGGTTGGGGAGGGGGCCTCTTGCATGACTGTTAGAATGCATTTCGCAAAAACAACTGAGCCTGCAGTAATAATGAGATGAATGCCTCCATTAAGCTTCTCATTTTCCATCTATAACTTTGGGGTATCTTGGAGGGTGGTGGGGTTGGTCCCTGATAAAAGGAGACCAAGTCTAACGTGACTGACCCCCGGTCTCCAGTCCCCATGCCTAGGGTCCTTGCTGGGTGGATGAGGAGGAAACACAGAAATGCAGGAAAATTGCATTCTGAGTAGGTGAACAATGTGGGAAACAGCAGTGCCAGTCCCAGTCAGACCTGAATGCAAACCGAGCCCTTGACCTCGCTGCTCCTTCACCTTAATAATGGAGGCAAGGGGGTGCGTGCGCCCATCCCCCACAAAGGCCAGCCTTCACCGGGTACTCTGCCCTTACGTCTTTCCAGGTTGTTTAAAACTTGCTGAATGGGCAATGCTGGCTCCTTTCTTTGAACCTGGCCTGCCTGTCCTTGGGCTTCCTTCCTTCCCCGCAGAAAACACCTGTTAGCCTGGCAGGGTGTCAGCTCCAATGTGAAAAGCTCTTCCCCGGGGCCCCCTCCCGGCTGTGCACAGGGGCCCCAGCAGAGGGGAGGGCAGGTGAAAGAGCCCAGGGGTCAGTCACGGGACAGGATTCGGCTCCAAAGCCCCCGCCGCCCCCGCTGGTCCCCAGGCAGGCACTCGGCCGATTACCTCTTCTATCTGAATCTCTCGCTCGTAAACCAGCTTTCGGACCATGCTGCTCACAGACACCATCCACGTCAGCATCATTATCAGAGGGAAGAAGAAGCCGACGTTGTTCAAGAATCTGCAAGGAAGTAATCCCGTCAGCACCCGAGGGCGAAGGAAGGGGCTCCAGGGTCGGGCTCCTGCGTACACGTTTTCACATCGTCCTTACATGCGACCAAGCTCTTTCAAGGAGCAACATCTCGTCTGGCCGTTTCAATGGAATGGCTGGCTGGCGTCCTGATTTAGGAGGCGTGCGAAACTCACGAAGGAGACACGCTGGTTGGAGGTCCCTCGCACGGCCACTGTCCCCCAGCCCCAAGCGCTGCTCTCTGACACCTTCCTAGGCAGAGCCCGTGGGAAGGACACAGGTCACTCATTCATGACTACAACCTCCCCTGCTTAGTTGGGGCTCCTGTCTGTCTTCAATCGAAAATCTCAGTTGACCATAGATTATGGCTTTACAAGATATGCGAAAAGTGACCGTTGAAATTCTCCCTGTGGCCAGCCACCTGGGTGGCTCAGCTGGTGTCTGACTCTTGGTTTCAGCTGAGGTCATGATCTCACGGTTGTGAGATTGAGCCCTGAGTCAGACTCCATCAAAAAGTCTGCTTGTCTCTCTCCCTCTGCCCATCCCTCTCCTTCTGCCCCTCCCCCCTCCCCTGCTCTCTCGCGCGCTCTCTCTCTCTCTCTTTCATAAATAAAATATTTTTTGAAAAGAAAGAAAAGAAGTCTCCATATCTCTTCCTCAACCACTCACTTCCCACTCCCGCTATCTGGCTTCTCTAACACATACTTGACATGGCCATTACCTAGAACGCCCACGACAGCCACTCCTCAAACCCAATGGGACGTTCTCCATCATTATCCATCTTCACTTCTTGGCTGTGTTTGGCACCAGTGACGGGTCTCTCCTTCTTTCCTCCTTTTGTACTTTTTATACCACTCCTGGCTTTTTCCACAGTCTCCTTGGTCTCCTTCACTGTGACTTCTCAGCCCAGCCCTGGGCTCTGCCTCCTCACCCCATCCCCCTGAGCTCTAGACCCACATATCCATTATTCGCTTCATCACGGAGGCCGCCCAGAGGGGCAAGCCATGTGACTGGGCGTGTGGTCCGTGAATGAACCAAAGAGAGAAAGGTCCTGTTCTGAAGCATCCTGCATTCTGGTGGCCAGGTGGGGGTGGGGGGCGCACCTGATGTAAACCAGGACAAAGAGATACACAGTATGGCATCAAGTATGAGGAAGTACAGCTTCCGTGGGTAGGGATGCTATCTCAAACAGGTAGCTGGGCAAGGTGTTTGTGGGAGAAGTGTCAGAGCAGAGAGCGGATGAAGTAGGGAAATGAGTCCCCCAGAATGTCAGGGATCTGAAGGAAGATGGCTCCAGGCAGAGAGGCAGCAAGGGAAGGCCTGGAGGCAGGAGCACGGAGGCACAGCTCTGGAGCAGCCAAGGACCTCGTGGGTTAGGAGATGGGTTGGCGCGTCAGCTGGGGCCAGATCCTGTAAGGATTTTCTATACCAGGTGACAGCAGATTTACTCAAAGAACAAGGGAATTCCGCAAAAGGGTTTTAGAAGGGAGAGAGGGAAACAGGGAGGAGACCCATTAGGTGTAAAGTTTTTAAAAAGATTGAATGCAGTATAGACAGAGAAAGTCCATGAAGAGGGAGAGGGAAAGCCACAGCAAACGTGCAGCCTTGTAGACAAGACAAGGGGGCGGGCAAAGATGCTGACCCGGAGACAGAACCAGCTCTCCAGTCCCTGTTGCAACAGCTTACAAGGGCGCCCCTGCCCAGACCTCCCCTTCAGAGTGCTGGCCCCAGTGCGGACCATCTGTCCTTCCCACTGGACGGTAAGGCCTCCCCCTGCATCTCCTCTGCTTGGCAAAGGCTGTCCACGCAGTAAATGCGAACTATTTGTTAGGGAAACCGTGACTAAGTAAAAAAGAAGGGGGTGGGGATTGACGTCTTTGTTTTTATTCATTTTCCTGTCTGAGATGATTATAATGACCATCAATTTGGTGAATCGCATTTTAAAGCTGAACATCAGCTAACTCCAATGCGACCCAGAGGCGCTAGAAAGTTAGCTCCCAGGCTGCTCAGCTTGGCGGTTTTTCTGAGGCTTTTTAGTCCTCGTTTTTTATAGAGTCCAGTGCACGTAGAAGGCTAGGAAGAGGAAGCACCATATCCTATATACACCGGCACATCCCACAAGTGACATCTCTTCTCCCAGATTAACCCAATTTACAGAAAAAAAAAAAAAAAATGACACTTGGATCACTTGTGAAGCTAAAAAACAATGAATACAGAGTTTACTTGGGGGATGGGAGGGGTTTGAAAAGAGTTTGTCTATGTTCATGAGCTTTATCTTTTCCACTTAAAAGCACTGGACCTGGGGACCTGGGGGGCTCCGTCGGTTAAGCATCTCCCCTCGGCTCAGGTCAGGATCTCAGGGTCCCCCCAAGTTGGGCTCCCTGCTCAGCAAGAGGCCTGCTTCTCCCTTTCCCTTTCCTGCCCCACCCCCTTGCTCATGCTCCCTGTCTCTCTCAAATAAATAAATAAAATCTTTTTAAAAAAAAATAAAAAGGGCGCTGGAATTGATGGCTATTGACCTCTGTTCTTCTACAAAAGAGCCCATAAGTATCCCACACAAATATTAAGATTCCATCTGAGCAGGGCACGAGGGTGGCTCAGTGGGTTAAAGCCTCTGCCTTCAGCTCAGGTTATGATCTCAGGGTCCTGGGATCGAGCCCCGCATCGGGCTCTCTGCTCAGCAGGGAGCCTGCTTCCCCCTCTCTCTGCCTGCCTCTCCGCCTACTTGTGATCTCTGTCAAATAAATAAATGAAAATCTTAAAAAAAAAAAAATTCCATCTGAGTTACTGCCCAGAAGTCACACTGGGTCAGGATTCTATGTGAGCCTGGGGCTGTGATGTATGTGTCCTATGGAACCCCCACCCACCCACATCTTCGTAATGACAAAGTCATCGTGGCAGGCTTGCAAGTGAGTAAACCCAGCTCTGGAGCCCTTGCAGCACGACCGCAGATCCCAGGGAACATCCAGTCGTTCTGCACACACCTGGCTGAGTGAGGCTACTTGGGAGAAGCGGACGGAATGAGAAGTCGGAATACGTGACTTGTGTGCCCCACCCTTTCCTACTCCACTCCTGAACACCAGTCCCACATCAACAAGAGATAGGAAAAACATCCATTCCAGTTTTGACAAATGCCTGGAAGTACTGGAAATAGTCAAGGTCAAGAAGGCAGCACATGGGGCGCCTGGGTGGCTCAGTGGATTGAGCCACACTGCCTTCGGCTCGGGTCATGATCTTGGGGTCCTGGGATCGAGCCCCGCAGCATCGGGCTCTTTGCTTGGCAGAGAGCCTGCTTCCCCCTCTCTCTCTGCCTGACTTGTGATCTCTCTGTCAAATAAATACATAAAATCTTTAAAAAAAAAAAAAAAAGGCAACACACAAGAACGCAGATGAGAGATGTCAGCAGCGAAACCCCACCCCCTGCAGGTGTAGAAGGCGCCATCAAAACCGCACCTCTGAAGGTCTAGGGGCACGACCTGAGGGTATAGGACAGGATGTGTTAAGTGGGCGCCAAGCAGCATGTTAAGGTGGGTGGTGTCAGAAACCACTCTTGCACCCAGACCCTTTTGCCAGGGAAAGAGAAGAGGAACGTTATGTGAGGAGCACATGTATCTAGTGGAAGCGCTCAGTCCTTGTGGCCATTAAGGTCACCTGGTCCTCACCACTGACGGGACCCCCTGGCAAACGACTGGGCAGGAAAACCCGATTCATTCAGAACGAATAACAACAAGAACAAAATCCATCACATCTGTACAAGGAATAAAGGTGGTTGAGTCCCACCATTACCAACAAATGAAAAACACGTGCCCAAAAAGATGGTCACAGGAGGCAGATGAAAATAGTGAATGTATTATTTGCCATCGATGGAAAAATAGTTAATAAGGCAATTCCGCAAATTAAAAAACACCCTATAGCAGAATTGTTACAATTGGGTGAATAGGTGACAAGACAGTAAGGAGATAGGAAATCAGAACTGGGAGAACCTTAAAAAAACAGAAGGGAAAGAGTAGCCATCACACAAGATATAGTTAGAAGATGCACCCGTCAAATTAATACCGCACAAAACGTGGTACGGGACATAAAAAATTGACATAAGAAACACAACTGAAAGAAACAGAAATAAAGAAAAAGGTATTTTTTTTTAATTAGGGAAATGTTATGGATAAAAAATATGGGGAAAAGAAATCCATGCAATTGGAGTCCTTGAAGAAGAAAATCCAGGGCTGGAAGATAATTGGTAATGCTGGAACCCATCAAAAGTTTCCAGGCAAGAAAACTGAAATCTACACATGGAAAGTTCTTATCTTGTGCCATGGACAATTATTCTAGAATGGTCTACGATGAAATGTATCCCACTAAATTTATTGAATTTTCAAGTCACTAGCAACTTGGCAAAATTACCAGGTCAGATAAAAGCAGGAAAATATCAGAGTGGCCTCAGATTGTTCCATAATCACATTCAAGGCCAATGATAATGGAGTTATTTCTACAAAATACTTGAGGAAAGTCTAAGTCAAGGATTTCATATCTAGCCGAGCTGCCTTTCAAGTATAAATGCTGCAAAGAATTCTAAGTATGGAAGAACCCAGGTTGCATTACCTCATACGATCATCTTAAGGAAATTACTAGAAGACAAATTTTAGCCCACCCAAGGATGACCGGTAAATTACAGGGTAAGGATAATGATAAGCAATGAACGTGTGTTCCGGTAAAAGGAAAACTAAAAAAATGGAAATTCAGATGACAAGACATACTGGAAATGTTATGTTCCCTGAAATGTAGAAGTGATATGACAAACAAAAATTGGAAGGTTAGCGGAAATGAAACAGAAAGAAAGAATAAATGGATGAATGTCAAAATCAGAGGCCATTTGTTCAGGATTCACAAGTGTAGAATATAAGCATAGGCATCTTTCATGGTACAAGAGAAGACATTGACATAATATCAACCAAAATGACATGGTGGAGAGGAAAATTTAATGACAGAAGAAG